GGCCGGGAAGATAGCGTGCCCCATTTGTATGGATCAAGTTGAATCGTTTCGACTACCTACTGGAGGAAAGCAATCGTGGTTTGACACTCATCGACGTTTTCTCCCCATGGATCATCCTTATAGAAAAAATAAGAAGAAGTTTATCAAAAATACAGTTGAGACGAGAGCGCCACCCATTAGAAAAACTGGTCAAGAGACATTACGTGACATTGTAGGTTTGGGCATGCGGAGGATCGTGGACGAAAATGGTGATGCCATTAACTCGGAGATTGTGAAGGATACTTCTTGTGGATGGAGAAAGAATAGTATATTTTGGGATTTGCCTTATTGTTGTCGTATGACACTAGCTATTTGTGTTGTTGCATTGATGGCGTTGTTGTCCTATGACAACCTATTTTGTTTTTGCGTTGATGGTGATGTCAACACTAAGTAAATTTTACGTTGTTATTGATCCATGGTAATGTTAGTTGTTAAGTTCTTGTGGTCTTGTTTTTCTTGTTTTATTGCTGTTCTTGACGCAATGATTATTGTGTTGATGTGTGTTATTAACTATTATGTATTTCAGGCTCAATTCTTCGAACTGCGCGAGGAGGCTACACAGAATGGGCTGCAAGTCACCAACGAAGAAATATGGTACTCGATAGTTGAGGGCCATAACGCGAAGAACCGCGTTCCTGGAGTTGGTGACTACGAGCGGGAAATGAGGAAGATGAATCCGTCCTCCAAACCTCGCCGTTCCAGCACGAGTAGTAGAAGCACAGCGGAGATATCAGCACTCAAAGAGCAAAACCAAAGGTTGCAGGAACAAATTGATAGTCTAACCTCGAACTTGTCACTGACGATTCAAGAGGACCTAAGGAAGCTATATGGTGGTAACCTTCCTCGACGAGGTGATGATGATGGAACAGGAGGGGCAGGGCAGCCCGGGATTTGTTGAGACATTTACGACCTTAGCTTCCTCCATTTTAAACACTTGACACTAACATTTTAATATTTGTTGTTAGAACATATTGAATTATGCTACATTCGCATTTGAAGTTTGCATTAATCTA